AGAGAGAGAGAGAGAGAGAGAGAGAGAGAGAGAGAGAGAGAGAGAGAGAGAGAAGCACAGACAACAAACCGGTGCCCATCCATTTTTGTTTCTGCGCGCTGGGGATCAATAACACCTGCTCACCCTCCCCACAGAGAGAGAGAGAGAGAGAGAGAGAGAGAGAGAGAGAGAGAGAGAGAGAGAGAGAGAGAGAGGGTTACGTACTTGATGAGAGGCAAGTTTGTGCAAGCCTTTCCACAAGGTTTCCTTGAGCACCTTCACATCCACCTGTTTCGCTCTCCTTGCATATGTAACCTCGATTTGTTTCACCTGGTTCCACACAAACGAAGTAAACTCTTAAACCACCACTACCTGCCAGCCATCTGCCGAGGGCCCCTTTCGGAGGCCGCCAGCTGTCGATTTATTTTATCAACAGCGCGCAAGCATCCGAAATTTTAGGAGAGGTTCAATTGGAACATCGAAATTTCTGGAAACAGCCAACCAGTTTTTCAGGAAAACAAGTCTCGTTTGCTCCACTAGGCGAACACATCTATCATTCGATATGCATTCAGTGTTCACGGTCCAGTTCAATTGCACCAGTTTCGATCAGAACTACTTGTGGATGATGGACTGAAAAATTAACTACCGTCCTCCACCGAACACAATGCACCCCTGTTATGGCTGTACCTGACCGGAAAGATCCCATGTATACATTCATTATCATGGTTCATTCTGTTAAGGGGACGATGGTAGGGCAATCTGTATGACTACAGACAATTGTGATGTGCCCAGACCTCAGCTATTCCGCTACCTTTTCCCTCCAAAGATAATGCCCAGGAGTTGTATTCGAATCGACTTAAAAACAAGGCCTCTTTTAGATCTGGGTCAAAATTTTCCCTTTTCTTTTTTTTTTTTTTTTTTGCTCAATCTGTCACACACAGTTTTTTTAATGATTTTTTATTATTATTATTATTATTAATTTTAATTTTTTTTTTTTTTTTGCTCAAACTGTCACGCACAGTTTTTTTAATGAAAAATGGCCCCAGCATCCCATGTACAAAGTAAAACTGAAGCATGGGTCAAAATTTACCAAGAAGAGTAACTCTTCCAGATACAGTTCCTACCGTCTTCATCCGCATGGAACACTTTGTCATTATCACTGTACCTGGACTGAAAGATGCCTTGAATACAGCTACAATGACCCGGCGTACTGTTGGGGTAAAGATGGTAAGTGTTGTATTCCAGTTCACTTCATTCCAATTGCTCCTTGCTGTGCCCCTTCTTCTTCAGCCCTCAACATGCAGTCAACCCTCATTTTTATTTATTTTTTTTGCCCGCCGGCCTTCTACCTTGCCAGCATCTCAACTCCGAGCGAATGCAGCGGGAACCAGCTCCGATACCACTGAAATGAGCCAAGTACTCATCAAGCTCCACCTCACATACATCAATGAACATTCAGATGAGAGTTCACACATGAGAAGCCAAACCGAGGTACAGTCCACACACGAAGATGTCGTCCCCAAAATTATCATAAAAACAATTGGTGGACCCGCCACAGCGAAGGACAATGACAGAAACATTTTGCGAAACACCCCAGCCATCAGTTGGAACCCATCTTTGCAATGTACCCCTACCGGACGCTGCCCAACTTTGCAAAATGCCCTGGCAGTTGCCAACTTTTTGTAGGTGTAATTGCAAAAGGCCAAGAGAATTTGCACACCCACCTGACAGGGGCATAACACAAACATGTCAGTCCAAAAGGCCATTCCACTTTGCCCATATCCTTTAGGGACATTTTGATATATATCTCAACTTATGGGGGTATTTGAAAAATTACCCCACCCCAC